ATAAGTAAAATAATTGGTTCTCAATATTTACTTTAATTAATAATTTTCTTATAACCTTGCCCGGAAAAGACAGCTAACGGTAAATATGCATGACTTTCTTGTTAACTCATCCATATTGAAGCACATCATATAATTCGAACCTTTGAATAAAATTCATATAATAATAAACTGTGAATTACAAGTTTATTCAAAAGTTTGAGTTGCTAAAATTATAAGAAATGTGTTAACATTGTAATATTGTAAAGTGACTTTATTTGTACCAATGCGTAACATACCTGCAGCTGAATCCAACTCATAACTATTTCTCGGTTTAGGCAAAACTCCAGTAGGTAAGAGTTTACTAGAATATTTACTCTCCTTCTCGAGACATGATAACGGCTTTACATCAGTATGATAAACGGTATTCCACACGTTGTCACCAGATTTATCCCTTTGTTCAAAGTCAATAATATAGGATATATCATCAGAAATTGTAAATGCATCAGGACGCTTATCAGGATCAGCATCACAACACCGCTCGGCAAGTTTCTTGTATTCCTCTGGCGCAGAATCAGGCATCGACGGTCGCAGTCCGCCCATAATATCGCATACTAAATCTCTATCAAACTGCCTATCTCTAAATGGTGGTTCACCAGTAGCAATCAAATACATAATGATACCAAATGAATACACATCCGATTTCTGAGTAAATTTGCTGGTATGGAAGACTTCCGGTGCAATAAAAGGCAAAACGCCTCGAATGGTTGAATTTGACTCGCGTGAAGTCGCTGCTTGTGAAAGACCAAGATCGCATATCATTGATTTTATCTCATCATAATACGTATTGTCATCATGCATAACAATGTTTCCGCTATGAATATCACAATGTACTAATCCCGCTTTATGAATAGTATACAGATACCCTGCAATATGTTCCAAATGCTCTAATTTATCTCTCCACGTCAATTTGTTAATATTTCGAACCAAATAAGACAAAAGACTGCCATTGTTAGCATATTGCATAACAATCATGTACTCTTTTGTCTCTGGGTCTTGTGTCACTCCATAAATCTGAAGGAATGAATAACTATCGCTTACACACTTGGCGTGATTTCTGAACTATTAAATAAATAATAAATAGAGTCAACTTAAATATCACATTAATTAATAGTACCAATCGTTACTTACCTCGGAAATAAATAATTCCGGCATTTCATCAAAATTTTTAAATCGTTTGAGTACAACTGTTTGTTGCATATCCTTTACGTCTGAATACTTTTTATACTTTGCCGTATAAACTGTTCCGTAGCCACCAACTCCGATATCTTTGAGTTCATAAAAGTCGCTATATCGCATGAATTTAATATTACCACGTTCGTAGTTTCGTATGAATGTGTCCAGTATTACATATACGCTGTAATAGAAAACTAAATAATATTCCCGAGTAGATGGCTCCTGAGTGATTCCAATTATCCAAATATTATCGGGTGTTAATATCATCGGGTATTCCTCAGTTAGCTACTTTGAGTATATGTTATAACAGCGGTCAATTAAACGCACGATACTCATTTATCGATTGCATTGTAAAACAATTTACCTGATAAAAATCACATAAGTTATCGTTTTGCTCACCTACTATTTTTTTGAGTGATACACGTGTCGTTGTCCAATCTGCTACGTGTGTGCATCCATGGTGCAATGATGTCATCTCTTGTATGTTTGTCAATAGAGAATATTCAATCCATTGTAAATACGCATCATCTACGTTCTTTATATTATTACTCCACGACTTTATAATAAATGAATCCAAGGACTTGTTGCATGTAGTCCTACACTGATGGCAGAGTAGATTTATGTATATGTTGAAGTTTAAGTCTCCCGTACACGCCAGACATAATCCACATCCCTTCTTTTCTTTTATTAGATAATACTTTTGATCGCTTGCTTTGTATGTAAATCCGATGGTAACCCAAACGTCCGTGGCAAGAATATCTGGATGCTCATCACATAACTAGTGGAAATAATACATAATAATAAGTCAATAATTATTTAAACTATTCAATAAACATGACACATAAGCAAATAGTTTACCTCGGCATAAAATAAATCATGTGTCTCATCTGTTATCTCAAGTGGAATCAATTTAACACGTTCAAGAGTAGGTAGACCATACAAGTGTCCATGTATCCCCCTATCACTAATACGATCGAATGGAATCCATTCCAAATAGGCGTCATTTGCTGAATTAGTTTGTAATTGAGACTTTTTAATAAACTCGTCGAGTTGCTTATTGTTACTAGTCCATCCATCGGATAATTGTTTATGTCCACAGATGCACCACACTGGACTACATCGTAGTATTCGACATTTAGAGCAGAATCCATAACGAGAATAACAGTCGTAAAACTCTCTCTCAGCAACCATGTAATAATTATCGTCATGCTTGGTAAATCCATTTATGAGTTTATTGCGATATTCAAGCCATTTAGAATATCGTCTAAAGTTATTGTCATTGTTATTGCACTTGTGTGTTGGAAGCGAGTATATTCTAGCAAACTCACTCACGAACGTTGATGTACATTCTTCGTTACTTCCAAGTAATACTAGCGTGTTCTCAACTGCGCCAAAATATCGTCGTATGTGCAATGAAGAATGCAAATCTCCAAAACATCTTATGTAGACGTTGTCAATTTCAGTTGGCAATATATAGGTCATTCTCTGGTAAGGAATCCATACAAGTTTTTTATATTTATTCATATAACTGGATTGGATCAAGCTGTCAATGGCTGGATTATCTGATGTTAACGGCATAATAATAATAAGGCTAGTTTAACCAACAGTAACAGTTTGGATTTTCGATTTTATAACGATAATCTGTTTGGATTTTCAAGTGAACACATCAACACTTGTGTTACGTTACAAATCCTTACTCGTTAGTAAATAGATGAGATTTGCCAGAATATGTTTGCGCGAACATATCGTCTGATTGCTTTCTACCTGTAGGTTTGCTGTTGTAATGTGTCTGTATCAGTCAATGCGAAGTGTTGTTAATGGTCCTGAAACTTAACTCATCAATTCTAAAATGCCTTCGATCGCTGATGCCTGTTACTAGTTACTAGGTCTTGGCAAGTAATTATACGTAGTGAAAATCCTCCAGCATTGGCACGTCGGAATGCGGACATAAAAAATGTCTACTTAACGGGTTGGTAGAACATATATGTGTTATGTTATCTATGTTAATTCAAAGCAACAATACACGGATGAGTTTTACTATTGTAAACTTAATGTACAACCGACATCAATTGTAAAATTTAACGGCACCTGTTTGGAACATAATAAGCAGATTTCAACTGAATTTATTTTTAATGTTTTTATAAATATCGCTAGTTACTTGTTATTGCAGTATTATACCGTGCACGATAATAAATAATTGTCTGTATAAGTTTTAACTGATTGCATTGAGATACAGTATATACCAGGCATATTTAGAGGCGCTGTTCCATTCATACTTGTTAAAAATACCGATTTTTTATTAGTCATCTACCATCATAACTCGCAAGCCAGGATTTTTCAAAATAGAGTTTCATACAATGCTTAATTATGTTCCCGAAATGTTTTGCGTAAAGAGCAGACTTTATATACCAACCCCATCATCCAGCAGTCAATGATTGCAATCGCATTATAGCCCATTAAGCTGTCCTGAGACATTGTAAATATTATGAATTTTGGGGTGACCAAATCAAGGTATATCTTTTCGTACAAACACCGCAGCCGGTGTATGGAAATTTATAATTTATTTTCGTATGCGAGTGGTGTAAGTCGTCAACAAATCTTACGAGTAAACCCGTAAAGTCGGGTTATAATAGTCGGAACACGTGGATAATTTAGTGAATACACGATACAATGCAATCAGTTACCCAATGATTTTGCTAAGAATAATTTCATTAATATACGCAATATAAAATATAGAAACACAGGCCGAAAAAAAACAGCTAGCATTATTCTTTCTACTCCAAAAGAAACTCGTTAATTTCGGCAGTCGCTTAATAATAAAAGGAAAATTGTGCTTCTTTTTTGAAAATTAAGAATGATTATGAACGAATCAGCCCGCGAAAAGGGGGCACGAAATCGAGATGAAGGGGCAACCCGGGGCAGCCCAGGCCGAAACATTATGTCCAATCTCTTACGTGTTGTATGTCAGATCGGAATTTATGTCAATTCCGAAGTGATATATGTCAGATCAGAATTTTATGTCGCTTCCAAACTGATGAGAAAATAGAAAATTAGCAATACATATGACAATGTTTTATTGAATAATTTATTGTCGTATGTCAGTTTGGAAGCAACATAAAATTCTGATCTGACGTAAATTCCGATCTGACATACAACAGAATCTTTTGTGTCTTATTCTTTTCAGGAACGAAATATGTAAATCGTATCAGTTGGGAGTTATCATTAAGTAGATGTTGCACTCGTAAAGACAGCTGACAGATCAATGCCTGACTGTTACTGCTTGGGGGAAATTTTACGAAAACCAACATAGCAATATTAGTTTGTAACATTTTAGTCTAGTCATATCAGAATGAAACTGAGAAAGACAATTAATAATCGGGATATCATGTTTGAACCTAGTACAAAACAGAACGCATATAGACGACCTTCGTCCGTCTCTCAACTATTAATTGCGAATTTAACAAGCGGCTCATTTATAAGCAGACCTAAATGAAAGACAGCGTTTCATATTCCCCTAACTCATTTTTTAATAACATGCGCATTGATATTTCCATGTGCTTATTCAAAGATCCTCGCTTGATACTCACTTAATCTTAATTCGCGATCGACGTTTAGCAGTATATCCGGTTTTAGTCCAGTTCAATAACGAGTGCCAGATGAACTTGACAGTCGTTTATTCATAATAATGATGTCAATTATTCTCAATTAATGTTAATACAGTATTGTTCACATCAAAATTATAACATGTGTTGTATATGGTCTAAAACACATTATCTAGTTCGAATATTCTATGATCCAGGAAAGAATGAACTTCTACGCGAAAATATAGATCTACAAAGCAAGAGTGTGTAAACGTCAGCAACATCTCCCTTACGAAAACGCATACTAAATAAATACTGAAAACTCACAATCTTGAATTATTTACGCCAGACATAAAAGCATCCAACAACTCTGAATTCGTAACAGACTCTATTGTAAAGAAGTAAAAGTTAACGCCATGTTCCATTTACCAAACGATGCTGTTATCACATCAAAATATACATCAACCTTCAATATCTGTAAACGAAGACCGTGTGGAATTTGGCCCACTTAAAGACTGCGAAGATCCGCCGGTAGATGTATCAGCCTTGGCAGTAGGCGAAACGGCTATAATAGAATTTACAATTACTTAATTCGATTCATCAAAAATTCAGCGGGCAAACAGAGTCTATTCCTTACCAGATCCACTCGCAAGTGAATCATCATTCACATCACAAGTCGTACTCAATTCTGTCGTCTCCACATTTGACTCTTGTTTGTTAACATCAATTACAGGTGTTCTCAATATAGTAGGAAAAATCCTTTCTGTCAACGATGATTTTACTTCGTCTGCCACTTTCTCACTTCCTTGTCCAAACGGCAAAAATGCAGCAACATCATATAACTGTAAGTTTTTCAATTTTTCACTCAACGACACTGAAGCCTTTGCCTGATACACTTCCTTGTTCTCTTCTTCAACACTTGTAAACACCCCACTCTCAACGTTTTCTTCCATCGCCTCACGTAGTCTCATGCTCGTCGATAGTTCATCATGGTCATATAACACAGGGCTAGCGGTAGTCATGGATTCAGGTAAGATCGAGTCTGTCGATGTGGGCACGAGTTCAGAGGATAGCGGAGGATGATGGGTTGAAGACAATTGCGCTGTTGATGTTGATGATACAAAGTATTCCGGTTTCTGTTGACTCGTTGGACGTATTGTCGGTTGTTCGGAAGCAGTAGTAACAGAGGCAAGAATGGGAGAACAATCGGAGGGTAAACGACGAGAATATGGTGAGTGGGTTGTTATAGGTAATTGGTGTGTAGATAGTTGGGAGTATTTGGTTGCTGAGATTAAGTAATGAAGAAATTAGTGGAATGCTCATTTGGGGAACAAACAGGTGGATGAAAGTCGAGTTCCTAATAAACGAAAGTGACGGCATTTGTTCTAATCATGATTTTTATTTCAAAAACTTTTCTTTTACGTTAATTTATACTATGTCGAACGATACAGCTTTGGTGTAATTGGGTCTTTGTATAGTTGAGGACATCATCAAGGAGGAGATAGCAATGCACGTTGGACCGTACCTTGATAAGCGCTTGTATTTTCCATAATGGCTTGCCCAATAGGCACACTGATAGAAGAGGAAACTGATCCACTGTGTGAACGCCTAGTCTCCGTTAGACTCTTGTTACTCGTTGTGCGAACCATGTCGGTTGGCCCGGTTCGACTAGTAACGTAATGTTCCCTGCTTGCGCTTGACATTGACGAAGGCGATCTTTGATGTCCTGTGCTGCTAGCTTTACACAAAGACAGGAATAAATACAAGTGTTCTAATTTCAATTCACCATTTCTTCAAGTTCCACGTCAATCAACAATCCCACAACATTCTGTTTATCCTATATGTTCAGGCAACCTGCATCGAAATTCTCAACACTCACCATCAACGTCGAACATCTGCACCTTTGTCGATGAAGCCTGACTCGAAGCTCGAGTGCGAGTAGTGCCCGCAGGTAGATTACTACTATTGCTTGCGCTCAGCACTTCGTCTCGTCGTAAATGTGCTCGAACACCGCGCAACTGCATCTCATACAGGAATGCGGCATGGCGAAGTAGGTAAGGTACGGGGACGTTCAACACACGAGAAGCTTGGTTCCCTGTTGTATATAAAGCAAAAGGTTTGAGTATAAGTTTATAGCTTTCAACAATAGCATGAATAAGGAAAGTCGGGAGGCTGTTGAGTTAGAGAAGAGTAGACAGTACAGAGAACTTACTAACAATCGATACTTGCTCGTTTATTTTGTGTGAGAATTTCCCAAAGCTTTTGTTCCATATCTTCCGTCCATATGACCTTTTGCAATAGTCGAAACACGGTTAGTCTGGAATAAATTGGAATAAAAAACATGTCAGCAAAGAGATACATACGCTTGGTGGATCAATGAAACCAGGTGGCCGTTTGTAGGGAAGTCGCATTACGACATGTAGCGGTTCTTCGAAAGACATTGCTGCGAGACGGAGACAATTCGCTTATCGTTATAATGATAGACAGATGGAAAGCTGCTAAACATTTGGGTATTAACCATTTTGGTGGTGGGTTGTATTGGCCATCCCCGTGTATTGGCCAATTTCCGTGTCAGGTGATAAGAATACCCATTGTGGTCATTACGCTCTGCCAAAAATATACTAGTTTGCATTTTAAAATAATGATTTACGTAAGATAGCTCTCGCGGCATAATATGTGCGGTTTAAACGAACAAGTCATGTTTAACCGTGAAACAAATACATATTAATATCGATACATTAATACCAACTGTTTTCTTTTCCTTTATTCCCTGTTCCCTCCTCTCTTTCTACTTATCAATAATTTTCGTATTGTTGTTATAACAACTATAGTCATCAAAGAATCAATTACTATAATTCACATACTATTACTTATTGTGACGAGCAAGCTTTATGATAACATCAAGATGAATTTTAGGAGAGATGCAAAGAAATATAAGTTAAATCAATAGTAGGTATTTATGGAAGACAAATTATCGCTCATTCAAAGCATACTCATTCTGGCGCGCGGCATGCATCAATACTGCGTTCCGAAGAAATATGATAATGTGATTTAATTTGCTGTGGTGTACCTATTATCTTAAACTAATTTAATCATTACTTTTTTCCGGACAGTTATTTATTGCCTAAAAAAGGTATACATTGGTTTTAACATTTTACACTACTGCTACAACTTAAATGACTTGCTATGATCGGTATCGCCATGTGCTTGAACTAGTTTGGGCAACAACCGTGCCAATCACAATTGCGAATTAGTTGATATCTACTCCTCACTCCTCAAATACCGGGAGTGTAGCATGTTTCTTATCCAAAAATTCGTATTCGCACCAAATCTCATAAATTCTACACCCCAAAGTATTTTGTCGCCAATGAATAAAAATGCGACTTAAATTCCACGCCTACGTGCGTCCTATACATTACAAAACATTTACCTTTCTCATTTACTAACATGCCAATTCATTGCAACGAACTTTTGTATTTGAATGTCTTACATATAAGCATTTATCACAGCGGAGGTTTTTCCTGCTCTAGTTGCATATGCATTTCCATCACATGTGGGAGAAAGGAATAACGAAAACAATCTGCAATGCAGTAGGACAGATAGTTTATATGGGTAGTAAGCATAAACGAGACTTCTAAGTACCCATTACATACAGTGTTAGCATTATAAAAGACGTACTTTACTTTGAAGAGTATTATAAGTATAAGTAAGATATGCACGCAAAGATTCTCACGTAAACTGGTATTTTGCAAACTAATAAGCATCTATTATAAGTCTAATTAAAAAAAGTCGATAACTCATTCATGAGAATTAAATAATAATTTTAATGTGGTAACATTTTATTTTATTAATTACGGATTCAGGAAGCGTACACTTAATCCATATTCGATCAAAGAACAGAAATAACGACTTATTTAATACTTTAACGTAGAAGACAAACTGGATATAGACTTTACTGGCTTCAGATTTCCGTTTTGTCCACTTACGTGGTATATATATGGATCCGGCAAATCAATATTGAAACTTGCGATAATAATATCATATCAATTTGTATTCTAAATTTGTATTCTACTAACTACTCTAACATATAACTGTGGGCTATTGGGGTGCTTCGAACATCTCTCCTTTGTGCACCAACAGTGATTCTTCTTCCAAAAGCTGAGTTCGCGCACAACTCACGTTGCGTGCAAGTCTTCGATTCAAGACGCCTACTTGATAACAATATTACCAAGGAATGAGTAAACAGTATCATCAAAATCACGGACCCATGAAGGAAGACGCATGGTCAAGCGGCAAC